AAGATGATATTTATAACTCATGAGACCTTTGTCAGTATTAGGGTAGTTGGAGGAAAAAAATTATATGTATGTATATGTAGATAGATAGATAGAGGGCACAGGGTGAGTTGAAGATTAAGGGGTCATATCTGGAGAATAAAATTAAGGGATGAGAGAGGATTATACTCGGAGAAGAAGAAAGGGAGAGGTAGAATGGGGTAAATTATCTCACAAAAAAAAACAGAAAAGTCTCTTACAGTGGAGGGGAAAAGGGGAAGGTGAGAGGAATGAGTGAATCTTATTCTCATAGGATTTGGCTTAAGGAGGGAATAACATACACATTCAATTGGGTATGGAAATCTGTCTTACCCTACAGGAAAATAGGGGGAGAAGGGGACAAGAGAGCAGGGGATGATAGAGAGGAGGGCAGATTGGGAAAGGGGTAATCAGAAGTAAATACTTCTGAGGAGGGACAGGGTCAAAAGAAAGAATAGAATAAATGGGAGGGCAGGATAGGATTAAGGGAAATAGAGTTAGTTTTTCACAACATGTCTACTATGGACGTGTTTTGCATAACTGCACGTGTATAACCTATATTGAGTTGCTTGCCTTTTCAATGAGGGTGGGTGGGGAGGGAGGAAGAGAGAAAATTTGAAACCTAAAGTTTTAAAAACATATTTTAAAAAAAAATGTTTTCACATGCTGCTAGGAAATAAGAAATACAGGAAATGGGGTACAGAAGTCTATCCTGCCCTACAGGAAAATAGAAGGGGAAGGGGGTAAGAGAAGGGGAAAGAGATAGAAGAGAGGACAGACTAGGGGAAGGGATATTCAGAATGCATGCCTTCTTGGGGTGTTTGGAGTGGGGAGATAGGGTATAAATTTGGAATTCGAAAACTTGTGGGAGTGAATGTTGAAAGCTAAAAATAAATTTATATTAAAAAAAAATAAACCTTGTCTTTGGCTAAAAAAACAAACAAACAAAAATCAAAATCATGCTGCCCTACTTTACCCTTTTCCCAATATCCAGGTGTTATTTCATAAATGAAGACAATCTAATATCTGGACGAAAAAGGAATCATTTGTTCAAAGCACCCTTCATGGGATCATTTTTTGTCCACATTTGCACACAAATGCCATGTAGAAAAGAACGTTTCAGAGCTCCCATATGTCATCTTCCTGGCATGCCCTTTCCTATTGTAGTCTTTTGTGGAATACTAAAAGCACCGTGATCTTATTGAATACTGTATGTATATCCAGACTTTTGTATTCTAATAATACTTCAGGGGACATAGGAGGCCCATTGCTTCTTGAACAGCATATACAGCTTTTATGTCATGTATATATAGTTTATACATTATCACATGCACTTTCCTTTTTGATTACTAGAAGTCTCAATGCATCTCAAGATATAATTTGGTTTTTGATCAAATCCTAGATCAGAATAGTGATTTGCATAGATGTTAATTGAAATAGTACCTGCTGTATTGATTTTTTACTTCCATATAGTAATGTTTGAAAATTTTTTACTGAATTGAATTCAGAGATTTTGGTAGCAGACAAATCTGTTGGACTTTTGAGTAGGTGAACTGGACTCAAATTTTATTCTTTTGAAAATTTATTTTTACTATGTCCTTCTATAGATAGACATTGCTTTTGCTATAAGACTAACAGATTTATAGGGAAAAAACCATGTACCTAGTCAAGACAGCATCGTACTAGACCAGCCACTAGGAAACAGAATGATAGGCACAGAATTGGGGCCATTTAACTAACTGATTTCTTTAAAACTTAAAAGAAAAAATTTATCACAAAAATAAATTCGAAGAACTAGTGAGATTTTTTCCCCCCTCTCATTGTGGATTCCTTTTACCAAAATCATAATATTTTCTTTAAAATGGGCCCAGGATTGTGAGGAGAAGAGTGTCATACCATCAGCATGGCCTTGTATCAGAGAAAGAAAAAAAGGAAGTCAAGGTGTGTTTTTCCTTTGATGTGTATAGATATGTTTTTGATGTTCCCAGTAGCCTTTAAGAAAATTGTCAGGACCACTCAGTAAATATTATTACAACAAAGGCAAGAGATTAGACTGGTGAATCCTCAAAGGGAAAGAAATGGAGATGTGACAGGTTATATAAGTACAAACAAACACATGCATATTGTGGTGAAGAACATGATACAGTAGCTATCAGAAACATAGATGAGCGCTAATAATATGGCAATAATAATTTCTTAAAGTATAGTCATGATAATTCATGTAATCTTCCAGGAGAATGTAAGCTCTTTGAGGTCAGGAATGGTTTCAGTTTTCTTTGTAAAAACAGCATGGTAGGGGGCAGCTAGTAGCACAGTGGATAGAGCACCAGCCCTGGAGTCAGGCGGACCTGAGTTCGAATCTGGCCTTAGACACTTGACACTTACTAGCTGTATGACCCTGGGCAAGTCACTTAACCCCATTGCCTAGCTGGAAAAAAAAAAAGCTCATAGTCTAGTAGTGGAGGTTAAGACATGTATGCAGTTGACTAATAATAAGCAAGTCCTAAGACATGCTGACAAAATATATCCAAACACACAGAAATTCTCTGGTTTGTCGGAGTGATTCTGTTACCAGAGCCAGCTTATGGCTTAATGGGGTATTAAAGGCAGGAGTGGACATAGTAGTGGTGAACCCATTAACCTCCTATCAAGTATAGTTAGTTCTATCACGCCATTAAAAACTGACTCTTTGAATGCTCACTTTAGAAGCAGACATTCTGACTGAGAGCAGTCTAGCAGCCCCTGTGTTGAAAGTATGTAGTTTGATTTTCTGTTGATAAGAAGCATGTCTATATTACAGGTCCACTTTTATTTCAGTGTTTTACTTTGCTGTGCTTGATAATGAAGCAAGGAATCCAGATGTTGGTATGAAGAAGGTCCAGCTTTATAATCCCCAGGAAGATTAATACCTAATTTAATTATTAATGTTCTCATTTAATATTTCTTGTGTACCATAACCTATGGTGTACTGATCACTGCAGACTGGCAGCACAGATACAAGAAAATAGGTACTGGAACCTGGATAATTTCTGCGAAGTCAACAGAGCATTACTGGCTGGAGAATAGCAGGGTCATGTAACCTGCAACACACAGATCTAGCTTATAATCCTCAAAATCCTTCTTGGCCATATGGAATGAAAAGACATTATAGGATTATGTAATTTTGGCAGTAGGCTTTTTAAGTGATGGGAAGCTAGTAAGTTTTAGACATGATGACATACTTAAAGATTTTGGCAAAGGAGGACATCAAACTTTAGATCCAGATGAAGGTCAGGCCTGCTGAGTGGCAGCTTCATGCATCATAGAAGATGAAGAGATTTCAGAGTATCTCTGTATTTGTGATTCTTGTGCCAGTAACACTTATAAAGGCATGAAAATGCATTTTTCTAGAATTTGGAAGAACAGAAATGGAAGTTTGTGTTGCCTCAAACACAGCATGGTATAGTAGAAAGAATAGATATGAAAGTCCTCAGAGTACCTGGTCCCCCACAGTTGACTTTTTTTTTTGACCTTTGGACAAGACACTTATTCTCCTAAATATGTCTTAGTTTCTGCAGTTTAAAACAGTTATATATATCGATCTTTCCACTTCCGTTCTGACCTCTCTCCTTCTCTCCTCACTGCCCAACGAATGTCCTTATGCATAAATTTATTTATGTCAATCTTTTTCACCACCCTTCAGTAAGAAACCCTGTTGCTTATGGAATAAAACCCCAACTTCTTAGCCAGCTTAGCTTCCTAGACTCCCTGTCAAGTTCTATAAACTAGCCAAACTAGACTACTCAAAAGATTTCTCACCTCTGTGACTTTGCTGTTTCTATTTCTTAAGTTTAGCATATCCTCCTATTGTTCTCCTGCCCTCCAGCAGCTCCAGTATCTCCTCCTCCAGGTAGACATCCCTGAATATCTTCCAATGCCCCGTCAGTTCACATGACCTTTCTCAGAACACACATAACCTTGTTTATAATATTCTTAAGGACTTTGTTATGACTAGGTGATCTCCTAGGTCCCTTTCAACTTTAACAGTCGATGCTTTTATTTTATAAACTTTGGAGAAGGAAATGGAAAACCCCTCTAGTACTTTTGCCAAGAAAACTCCAAAGAGTCAGACATCATGCAAGAACAAAATTTACTTTGTACCATATCTTTGTATGTGATAATAGATTATGGTTCTTTTTTAGGAATTAATAAAACAACAATTTTAGGTGAGCTGTACAGGTCAAAAGCTATTTTTTACCAAAGTGTTTTCTTCATTGAAATTTATTTTCTACCTTCTTCCATATGGGACATTCAGATCCTACTGGGATGGGGAATCTTATTCTTGGAAGTCACAAGATATCATAGTTAATGGAAATCTAACATTAATTCCTACACCAGTTTTAGCCAATGGCTTCACCATTATTCTCTTAAGACTTTTATCAGAGATTCATAGAATGTCAGAACTGAGAGTAGCTTTAGAGATCTTCTGATTTGATAGAGCTGCTAATGATCTCTATTTTCTTTGTGGAGGTCTTAAGGTTTTGCTATTGCATTCCATTTCAGAAGAAATTGGTTCTTTCAGATGTATGGGCAAAATTATACTGCCATTTCTGTTAATGGGGAACCTGAATTGTCAGTTGTGAAAAGGAGTTTTCCCTGCTTACTGATATATTTGTATCTTTTCGTGTCCTATTGATGAAGTCAGTCAGTGATCTTGAAGAACCTAAAATTTGATTACTGGGTAATAATCGAAAGTAGTTCTAATATTAGGAACTCCAAGGGTTCCATCTCAACCAGCTGCATTTTACTTTCTGCTTCCCCTTTTTGGGTAGGTATGTAAATAAATTGGTTGATCTCTTTCTGCCAATGACCCATTTACCCAAAGAATGTTAGAATTGTCATTGGTAGGAATAAAAATTATAATGAGAGATAGGACTTGCCTTTCTGTCTGGCCTTTGGTGTTTATATTTTGAGTAACTTAAGTTGATCTCTGTTCTTGTTTACAGTGTGCTGGAGAAGAAAATTGGGTTGATAGTCGGACCATCTATGTCGGACACAAGGAGCCCCCTCCAGGTGCTGAAGCATACATTCCACAAAAATACCCAGATAATAGAATAGTCTCTTCCAAGGTAAGTTTTGCTGTTAATCTACATATTTAGTATTTTTTGAACTGTTTTTTTCAATTAGTAAGTATTTATTTTCTCTCAGTCCCACCTCTTCCCCCCCAAAAAATGAAGAGAAGAAGAAAAGTCCCTTGTAACAAATATGTGTAGCCAAGCAAAACAAATTCTCATATTGACCATGTCCAAAAATGCATGTCTCATTGTGCTTCTTGAATCCTTCACCCTCTCTATTAGGAGATGGGTAACATGCTTCATCAGTGGTAAAACAATTTGTAAGTAATTTGGTTTAGCAACTTTATAATAAAGGTAAGTGATAAGATGAACAATAGATACTATCTGTGGAATGGAGATTTCCATGATGAGTAATTATTGAATTAATTTTTCCCCTCTGGCTCTTAAGGGTACTATACTTCCTAAAACAATTTTGTGACAGAACTGTTTTGTTTTACAATGAATAAATATTCTGTAATTTTCTGATTGAGGTAAAGGTTGGAGTGTGGAAAGTGTTTGCCCTGTGGGAAAAATGTAGCTATCAAGGGTATGGGAGGAAGATGCACTGGAATGGTTCCTAAACCTTGACACCTGATTCCATTTCTTGAGACCATTTGCTCTTTATCTTTCCTGTCAGATGTGTCCAGAAGCAGTTGCTTCTCATTTTTCCCTATTTTCTCACAAATACCTGATGGTACCCTTTCCTTTTTTCTTAGAATATTTCTCCCAATTTGTCCTGGTCTTTTGAAGCTGCTTTTTTAGGGACTCAGGTTTCCAGACAAAGTGGCTAATGATGATAAAAGCAGTATTTTAAATCACAGCAAGGAATGTGCTTAACCTGAGGCCCCCATGAGGAGAGCAAGGAAGAGATAGCATGTGTGACAAGGAAATGTGTAGATTACTGTCTCTGAAGAGACAAGGGTTCAGTTGGAGCTCTGAAGAATTAGGATACATCTGTGTCTTAGCAGAGCAGCATCTGGGCCTAGGTAAAATGATCTTTGGGTCATGTGGTAAGAGGAGGAGGAGGACTCAGTGGTCATATGAAAGGCTCCCTCTGGAATCAGCACCGATTTTAGGCCCAGTTCCTGCTACTCTTCCCAGTTTGGTCAGGGTTTGCAAGACCACAGAAGAGAGCCAAGTGTTTTATTAAGGGGGTGTCGGGAAGCTGGGTTTTACTCAGGAGGTCCTGATTAGTTTCTCCCTGTCATTGTAGGCAGGTGTCAGTTAGTTGTGAAACTGGCCATTTCTGGAAAGAAAATACCAAATTGTGTGTGGAAGGGGGAGTTGTAGGATGGGAGGAATGTCCAGGAAAAAAAAAACAGCTCATAATAGAGTACTGAATAGGAGGCCTAGGCGTGTCTAGAACGGAGATGACCCTTTTAGAGGAAGGGCTAGCTAGGTTCAATACAGCAGAGAGTTATTGGACTCTAACCATAGGGAAGTCTTTGGGACCTCTCTGGTACTAGAGGATATCAGTGATTTCTTTGATATCAGTAGAAGGCAGACTGCACTGTGGAGCAGTATAAAAATAGGATTTTGTCACAAAGAACTGTTTAAGTTTCCAGGGAAAATTTAAGAAAGATTTTTACTTTATCAGGCTAATTTTATCAGAAAATTCAAGAACAGGAACTAACAAATTGAAAGACTTTGTACTTTTAGAAAAAATAGACTGGTTAAATATTCAGACTTTTAGAGAATGTGTAAAGTATCATTGACTCCTAAAAATCCTTTTCACTTGAGAGGGAGGGGTTAAGGAGTGGGGCAGAGTACACAAAAGACTTTCGTTCCTACTTTAGATTCAAGAATGGAATTGTGATCTCAGGTCAAGGATACTTTGAATGGTGCAATGAAAGATTCAAGTGAATGATGGTCTATAATTTCAAAAATTACACAGGTAATCATGTTCCTGCCAGGAAAAGCCCTTGGAAAGATTGAAAACTGGACACTGGGGCTGCTAGAGAAGCTTTTGTTTATTGCCTAAGTTGTCATTGAGCTAAGTAAATCTAGAATTATTAAAAAGATAACTCTCTTTGTGAGAGAATTCACAGTAGGATTTCTTTGAATAGTAAGAACCTTAAATCTTCTTGAAAAGTGGTTAATTTGATTTTTAAAAGTTTTATTGATGCCCTTTTTTTTTTTAACAATACTCTCATTTCTCATTAAAGTCATGCCACTCCCGCCATCAATTGAAATCCTCCCTTTCAATAGACATTTATTAAGTATCTTCAATATACATGGGATACTGGGAAAGGGGGAAGGGAGGATTGCTTAGAGATCCAGGACTGGCTACTGGCAGAGGCCCATTACCAGCTGGGTGTGGCCTCCTTTTACATATCCATTACAGTGAGACTGGGTCTCAGTTCACCATTGTTAAGAAGAGGCTGGCCATGCTGAACAAAAGGATAAAGGCAGCTGAGGCACCTTTGAGGATGAGAGATTGAAGAGCTTAGTGAACTGCTCCTAGAAATTATACACTCAAGTGGTTTGCCATTTCCTTCTCCGGCTCATTTTACAGATGAGGAAATTGAGGCAAACAGGGTTAAGTGACTTGCCCAGGGTCACACAGCTAATAAGTGCCTGGGGCCAGATTTGAACTCAGGAAGATGAGACTTCTTGAATCCAGGCCCAGCACTCTATCCACTGCTCTACCATTGAATAATTTGTGAACATGATATATACACATTAACTCCTCTTCCTCAAAAAAAAAAAAAGCCAGCTCTTAAATTTCCCTGCATCTTAAGTGTTCATTGGCAGCTAGCTGGTGCAGAGGATAGAGTCCTGGGCTAGACTCAGAAAGACCTGTGTTCAAACTGGCCTCAGGCACTTATGAGCTGTATGATCCTGGGCAAATCACTTCAGTTTGCCTCAGTTTCTTCATCTATAAAATGGGTGTGATAAAAATAGCATCTGCCTCCCAGGGTTGTGGTGAGAATCAAATGCCGTAATAATTTTGAAATGCTTGCACAGTACCTGGCACAGTTAGTGAATGCTATGTAAGTGTTAGCTATTATTGTTTAGAAAGTTAATTCTTGCTCTAGCCACGGTTTGTAAACATTCTGTCTATGCGATGAGAAAGTTACTGAATTGTCTGGGGTAATTATATGATCACAGGTTTAGAGCTAGAAGGCCTTAGAAACCATCTTGGCCATCTCTTTTTATAAATGAAAAAACTGAGAACTGGCGAGATCCACGTGTGTGAAGGGACAAGATGGATACCCATTTGCTTTCATCCTACCCCTTAATCCTACCATGAGATAAAAAGTAACACTGAAATCTTCTTTTAAAATGTTGAAGTTACCATGATTTTTTTTCCTCAAAGAAAAGTTTATTTAACTATGTTTCCTTTTGTTCCTTACCTAACTATCTTCAGAGAATTCATCTCGGGTATTACATAACATGTAGCCCCTAAGTTACATTTTACCAAAAAAACAATGATTAATTTCTTGAAGTTTCTAGCCCACAAAAGTTTGTTTGGCAAATACTGTACCTAAACGTATGTGATATAGATTTGGAACTGGAAGGAACCTTAGAGATGGTCTCTAATTGCACTCCTCACCTTACAGATGAAAAAATTTAAGGTCACCCAACTGGCGTCACAGTCGTCCCAAGTCTCCAGACCAAGCCTCAGTTCCCTATGCAGTGGTGACTACATGTTACTGTTGGATGGGGGTAGGAAACCTTTGATCGCCAATCTGGGCAAGCTGGTCATTCAGGTCTCAACAGTGGAGCAAGAAAGAAGGACAGGGAGGGACACATAGCCATCCCTGTGTAAGAGACTGTTGCGGTCTGAGAGGTTGTGACCCCTCAAAGACTGAAGTACACGACGGGGTCATCTGGAATGAATTCACAGACTCAAGCATTCTTTAAGTCAAGTTGGCAAAAAGCTTATTGTTGCTTTTCAGCAGGCAAGGATTCTTAAGGAACCTGCGATCTTAGATGGGTACAGCTAAAGTTTATATAGGATAAAATGCAATAAAACATGTGCCAAGTATGCTAACAAGGTGATTCAGAGTGGGATTAAGGAGTGGTTAAGGAGTGGTCAGTTCTTAAAAGAACATGCACTTCTTGTACCTATTGCACAGGCATTTTACCCAGAGTTCACTAGGAAAAGTCCACAAGGGGGGCCACATGGAGGTGTGGTTTTAGGCCTGCCACGTCACTAAGTTAACTAAAATTCAGGGGTAACTGAGAGTTGTCCAGTCTGCCGCCAGTCAATGTCTTGTTTGACAAGATAGATGTAGGGAGTACCCGTATGTCTTGAGTCTGGAATACAGATAATGAGGTGCCCAGGATGTAGATAATGAGGTAGGGCAGTAGTATAGATAGGGTGAGTAGGTAAGAATGTCTTTATGATCCAGTGCAAAGCCAGTTTAAACTAATAATTCCTTCAAGTGCTGTTTGTAACTGCACCAGGAAAAGAGATAAGGGTCTTGCTGGGCCCACTCATGAGTAATTGCTAGGCACAGTGTCCTTGGGCTGGGGAGAAACTGTCAGGGATAGTGTTTCTTAGGCTAGGGAGAAATTGGGGTCCAAGCACAAGCACCTAAGCACCCCATCAAGACTAAGAGATAACAAGAGTTAACTATTTTTGGAGCAACCTTGGTTTAGTTTTGTTCATGTAAAATCTCCATTACCTTACATTTTGCCTAAGAAACATAATCCCTTGAAAAAATTTTCATACAATTCAGAATTCTACTTTCTTTTGTCTCTATTTGCCTCCCACCCTCTTGCTCTTTTTTAGAAAGTTTATTTTTATTTAAAGGTATGAACAGGACCAGGAGAAATTGAAAACTGTATGTCATATGATGTGTTTTGGAGAGGTGGAGGTATCCTAAGCATAGAAAGTATATCTGTTGTCCTCAGAGTCAGGAAGAACTGTTCAAGGTTTTCCTCGGGCTTATACTGGCTGTGTGACCATAATAAGTCATTGAACTTCTCAGAGTGTCTCTCAGACAATTCTCTTAAGATGATGTTACAGAAAAGTTGAGGATCCTTATTGGTATAGTGATATTCTT